CATGACTGCATTGTGTTACATGATCTCTATGGCCCATCAGGGGTTGTCAAACAAGTGCTTTGATATAGACGGGAGGAAGGAGAAAGTGATGCGTCTTTTTTTTCTTCCCCATAACTTGCATGGTACGATTTGCATTTTCTCCAACAAGGCCTTCTTAAAGTGAAGCTATTATTTTAAATGTTTAAAGTGTATGTAGTTCCTAACAATAAACTTCTCTTATATGCAGTGGCGTCACACACAAGGGGGGTGCGGGAGGTGTGGCCCGCACCTGGGTGCCACCATTGGAGGGGTGACAGCAAAATGACTGACAGTCATTTTGGTGTCGACCCCTATGAAAAGTGGGGCACTCGGTCACGGACTGAGAGCCCGACAGTGTCAGGAGAGAGGAGGGGACCCGGCTCCATACCTCATCCCGCTGGGGGAACATCCCCCCCTCTTTCTGCTGACGTCCAGCATTAAGATGGCTGCCGGCAGGCATCAATAAGACGACCGCGCATGCACGATGACGTCATCGCACACGGCGACGTCACGGCGGGTGTCACCCGGCCTCCACTCCGGGTGATACCCAACCTCAGGACGCCCCTGCTTATATGCTCCCTTTTGGTCTCCTAAATATACAATTAGATGCATTTTCTTATAGCTGTTGGATAAGTGTAGAACAATACCGGTTGATTTTGGCAGAAGTCTTGTTAGTTCATAACTTGGATAATGACAATTGCATAACTAACCTACTTCCTGACTAGGGCTGAGCTTGAGTTTGTCTTATCGGGAAGAAAGCTGTCAGTGCCGGTCCAATCAGTTGCCACCATGGCATTCTCTACTCCACAGGATCCTGGGAGTTTCCTTTGAATCTGCACTGTTGGGAGTTACATACCTAAACGAGCAGTAAACTTGAGTTGGTCCAAACCTGGAAGGAAGCTTTTAGTTCTGGCCCAATCACCTGAGACTGGGGCATTCCCTTCCCCGCACCTGCACTTTAACAAAGGAATGGGATACTGGTAACATCATTGACCTTATATGGTCATATTTGGTTAATGACATTGACCTAATATGGCCATGTGGCTATATAAGGTCAATAATGTCCCCTGTGTACCACCCCTTTGTTTACGTCCAGCTGCGGGTAAGGGATGGTGATTGGGCCACAACTGACAGCTTCCTTTCAGGTTCGGACCAACTCAAGTTTGGACCAAACCCGAGGTCATCCCTATTCCTGATCTAGGTTAACCAACCTGCAAACAGTGTCAGATTCAAAGTAAACGCCCAGATGGAGTGGAACCCCAAGAGGATCCTCCGGATAAAGTAGAACAAAGCCATGCTATGCCTCTTCCACGATAAAGAAACTTAACTGCCTGCAAATGCGCAGCTCAGTGTATATTCTCAGTATGTCGCGGTGTCAGGATGAATGAACTCCCATGCCTGATGGGAGTCCATTACCTAATTCCACGTCGGCCAAAATGGGCAAAAATCCAGCACCCAGAAGAAGCCAGGGAGAAGATGTTGGCACTGGGACGGAGCTCACAGTCGTTTAGATATGGGTTTGGATACTCTAAGAGCAAACAATACAAGATACCTGCTTACATTAGCCAGAAAACCCTTCTCTGTGTGACCCTCTCTGAAACTAGTTTCTCTTAACTACTTGGAGGCTTGCTTTGCTGACTTCATGGTAAAGTGAACCTGTTCTTCATTTTATAGTATTAATGTAAAAGTGCCTAGTAGACATCTTTAGATGCTTACTGTTGCTTAGAGTTACTTACTCTGATTTGGTTTTGTTCTATTTCTCAGACCTGACTTTGTTTGACTTCAGGGATGAGCTCAGCCAACTACCATAACAGTGCACATTAGAACTGCTCCAGTGGCCATTAAGGGCAGTAACTGGACAACAAGATGGCGGTTGATGGAGCTTTGCCAGGAAGCCAGGCTGCAGAAAAAAAGTCAAACCAAACCAGAGAGGGGCAATAAAGGAAGCTAATAAAGGCAATAGTAGGTTTGGTGTGCATTAGGTTAAAATTAAATACGGCTCATGTTAAGCTTCACCAACTGCTAGATCCATGAGCAGTGGGGGTTCCCCAGTGGCCAAAAAGGGCACCGTTATAGGACAGGAGAGGGCAAGGTGCTAGGTCTTGAAATCAGGCCCCTAATTACATGAACTAGTTTCAGAGAGGCATGCAGAAGTGGGTGTTCTGACTAAAGAGTGTGACCATAGGCATCTTATGGTGTCTGATCATTATAAAAGCTGTAATGGCTGATGGGGGTCACTTTAAGGACAAGGCCATGACATCAGCAAGGTTTCAGCAAAGCAAACATTTTTATGGCCTGTTTATCGCTTATTGGCTGGGGGCCTAAAGGTAGTAACAAGCTTTATAATTTCCAAAGCATCTGTTAGTCATTATATATTTACAGACAGATAGAAGCTGCCGGGATGTATCCTCTCATATCGGATGCTGCCATTATGCTTTCCATGCATAAGAGAGTAGCACAATGCGTTTGGTGACAGTTTTGCTGGGAGAATTACAATCCCCTCCAAGTGACCTAAATACATTGCAAGCATTCCAACCAACGTTATTGCAGATCCTCAGCAGGTTCTGATCTGTACATCATAAGCAAATTACAACTGTACTTTTAGCACAGTTATCCCTTAAAGCTGAAGTGCAGGTGAACGGTTGAATGCAGAGATACAGGACATATGAGGGAGTTGTTGTACCTGCCAAAGGATTTGTATTTCTGTCCGTCCAATCTTGAGATTTACACAGCACAATTACTGTAGGTCTGGCAGGTCAGGGGACCCTGATTTTTCTCTGCTGCAGTAAAGTAACACTTACAGGTCTTGTCCTTCCCTCAGCCTGCGACTGGACAGGGAAAGGAAAAGCTGCAGAGTGATGAGGCCATGTCTCTGTCTCTCTACTCTCTCCTTTTAGCAGCATGTTTCTTGCAGGACAAATGATCAGCTCTTTGTGTTGCTTCACCCTCTCCCAGTTCTGCTGTGAAGGGACTGATGCCAAGTTAAAGGAGAACTATGAGGTGAGTGATTTCCACTCCATCCTCATAGTTAGAGCCGACTTTTTGCCGACAAAGAAGCTGTCACCGTTCGGCTCTATCAATCGGGAAGTGAGCAGAAACATGCCACCGATCCGCTTACATCCCGATCGTCTCCCTGCAGTGAGCGGTGACTGTCAGTCACTGCTCCCTGCAGTGAGTCCCCCATCCCCTCTCCGATTCTCCAGCGCTGACAGGAGGAATGGACGGAGAGGGGGTGGGCACAGCTGGCTCTGCCTATTGATAGGCAGAGCCAGCTGTCACTCACGCAGCTGGGTGGATCCAGACAGTATTGCCGGGATCCGTCCCGGCTGCGGCACTCTCAGTATATCGCAGGCAATAGCCCGCTATATACTGAGCTTTGGGTCACGGGAGGAGGTTGGTATATGGGGAAAAACACTTACCCCATAGTTCTCTTTTAAATGTATGTACTTACACTGCTTGCATAATATTATATTATTGGGTTCAGTGATTTAATAAAGAAGAACTTCAAGTGTGTAAAAAATTAACCCTTGCATTGGGGCTACCCACGCACTGCAAGGGTTAAGTGCTCCTTTTGGTCGATGGTCTCAATCAAAGAAGATACACTTACCCGTTGTTTGGTCCTGCAGAGGTGACTGCTCACCTCTCTGCCCCTCCATTTTGACTCTGGAATGCTTCCCCATATCCAATGCAAGTCAATTAGCTTGATAACGTCACAAATCCTTAGATCGCTGGAGTCCAGCAACGAAAAGCCTGCAGGTACCAGCCAGACAGGATCAAGGATCGAGTAAGTATATCTTTTTTTATTTTACATCCTAGACCAAAATGAGCACTTAACCCTTGCAGTGCATGGATAGCCCCACTGCGGGGAGTTCATTTTTTGACCTGCCCGGAGTTGTTCTTTAAAGCTAGAGAGTTACCTTCATACCAACCACTTAATCCAACACTGTGTTAAAGAGTAAGTCATATCATACCTTCACATGTTCAACAGATAGACACTCTCTTATGGTGGGGAACCCTCTTATTTCACTTCAAGCTCTGTGCTAACTTATGTGGGGAAAAAGTACAGAGCCAAACTTAGGAGCAGGGCTATGTAAATTCCAGGGAATTGTTGTCCGCTTTAGAAAGTCATTGCTGGCGCACCTTGAAATGGAACGGTCATGTTTAATTACATCAAACTGGCAAATGTCTTAGTGCCCCGTTACACCAGCGGGTGCGTGTTTATGTCTTTACAATGTGTGCAGGTTGGTGTGCGTTTAGGAGCGGTGCAATGCTTTGATGATGTTACAGTCTATTGCAATGTTGGCTTTAAATCAATGCTGATCAATGCAGCTCAACTCACCTGATGTTGGTGCATTGGTGCCTGAGGTATTGCCCTTATGTAGCAATAATATTACAAGAGAACTATGGCCCAACCTTTTACTATGCCCTCCTGTGACCCAAAACTATGTCCTCCTGCACAGAGCCGCGCTGCGGCCGGGAAAGATCCTGACAAGATTGTCAAAACTCCAATCAGCGCTGGAGGGACAGGGAAGGGGTATACCTGCGTGGCGTGGTGGTTAAGGCCTCGTTTACACCAAACAAAGCAGTGCTTGCAGCATTTGGTTCAGACCGGACCGCAGGCATAATGTGCCTTGCGTTCCTGTGCGGCCGAAGGGTGTGGCTACGGTGCCATTCACTTCAGTGGACCGCCATGCCCCCTCCTGCTCCACAAAATAGTGAGCCGGCCGCAATGCGATGCAGTGTGTTCTGGTCAGAATCGGGCCGGAACGCAGTGTGTCTAGTGTGACTGAGCCCTAAGAGTCATCGCTCTCTGCAGGGATGACGTGTGACAGCTTCAGTATCATAGGTTGGCCCTAATTATGTGGAAGAGGGTATTTCACTCTCCCCATAATTCTCCCTTAAGGGGTGCAGTGTCTCTAGCCGCATGCTGCAGCTTGCCACTGTGGCAACTAAACTAACATCAGCATTCTCTCTTCCAACAGGTCGACATGGTGATGGATCATATTGGCCAGTGGACACAAACTTAATTGACAGAAGTAGTCTGAATGGTAAGTACCTGGTCCTATGTTTCCACAATGCACGTCTTCTGGTCAGAATATCTTGTCTATAGAAGATCACTAATAGATACTAATTTAGCCTTCAGTTATTTAGAATATGATAGATCAGGGGTAGGCAGACTCGGCACTCCAGCCGTGCTGAAACTACAAATACTATCATGCCTCTGCCTGTCAGGCTGTCAGGGTCGTGCAACGCCTCACTGCACTTGTAGTTGCCCAAGGTTGCTTAAACCCTGTGTTAGACAATAGCATTTGTGATGTGTCAGAGCACAATTGTATATTGTCTGCAGCTGACTTTAATTTTTAATTTTCTTTTTTAAAGTAAATTTGCTTTATAATTACTAAGGGCACTATTTTGGATGCCTTCCTTTCGGTTTTTCTCCACATTTCCATGCAGAACAAGCTGGCAGCGGTTGGGATGAACACAATGGCAGGGGTTGGGATGAACTATACCACTGTCATTGGTAGCTAGAGCAGTTACAGAACAATCTAGGGCTCATTCACACTGTATTTGATGACTGGTGTTTTTCAGCAACTGTACAGTGCAAGCCACATAGAAAACAATGGTTTTCTATGTGCCCCCATTTACACCACAATGCTGGTGTGATCTGCAGTGCACTGCAAAAAATGCAGACGTCCTTCTCTTTTGCAGTGCATTGGATGCACTGCATGTCACCGCAGCACCGTACACCAGGCTGCTGTGCGGGGACCTGAATGGACATTTTGTACCATCCAAATAAAGTAACAGATACTTGTGTTGTAACAATGCAGGGCACCATGGCTCACTGCTGCCATTCAGTGGGCACTACCTGCATGGTAAAATGTTGCGTTTTACCGTGCGGTTAATGTGCACGAGCCCCTAATAGAAAAAAGAGAAAAATATTTTAATTGTTACAAAGGTGGCTGTTGTAACCACCACTACCAGTGTTAGAGTTTGTCCCTAACCCTGCCACTGAAATTTTAGCTGGACAGCTTGGTCCGCATTTCAATGTGGAGAAAACATCTAAATAAAGGCATTTGAAATAGAAAAGGAATTTACAACATTCATTTTATTATTACATGAATTAATCACATTTAATTATCAAAATACAACATTTTCTGGATAAGTTCTCCTTTAACAAGTGTTTTTCCCCCAAAATATTTTATTAAACAAAAGCAGAATTACAAAATTACAAAAAGAGCTGTGAATTACATATTCCGTTACATATATACCAGTATCAGAAGTATCTATATACTGTATATATATCAGTATCGGAAGAATACAGAACACCATAATTATAATCCATAGATTAGAGCTTTGACCAGGTATAAAATCACATGCCTTAAATGAATACAAAAGGTAAGAGCAAACGATTCAGAATGGGAAAAGATGACCAAGGAGGACATGTAGGAAGCAATTATCTATATGTTGGAGAATAAGTTCTCGCTCATAAAAAGTTTTCTTTAAAAAAAAAAAAAAAGATAAAGATAAAGCTGAGTGCCCTTTAAGAGAGTGTACAGAGAAATAAATATTATATATTAAGACAACACTACAGTGTTTAAAAAAAATAACTTTTGAAAAATAAATTTTTGTACATTGATCAACTTATGATAAAAAAAATTGAACGGTGTTTATTAAAACAGTGTGCATAATAAAAGTCTTATATGCTCTTAAAAAAAATTACAAATTATTTGGGTATGCAAATTAGTCATGGAGTTATAGTCAAGTTCACTGGTGAATTCTATTGCTGCTAAACTTGGTCTGGGCATCTAGACTTAAATGTCCTTTGGATGGATGAAGGTTAAAAAGCTAAAAAATAAATACATACATAAATAAATAAAAAATTAACAGGTTTGAAAAAAAAAAGACAAAGCTAAGTGCCTGTTAAAAAGAGAGTGCACAGAGAAATACACCTTTTTTTTTTTACTAAGACAACAGTACAGTTTTTTTAAAATAAATTAATAAAAAGCAAATATTCAATTTTTGTACCTTGATCAGCTTATGGTAAAAAAAAATTGAGCAGTGTATTTATTAAAAAAGTGTACCAAATAAAAGTCTTACATGCTCATTAAAAAGTGTAAAAAATATGTGGGTATGCAGATTATTCATGGAGTTATGGTCAAGTTCACTGGCGAATTATAATGCTGCTAAACTTGGGCATCAAGACTTGAATGACCTCTTGTTGGAAGAAGGTTAAAATGCTAAAAAAAAAAACAACAAAATAAAATTTAAAGATTAGACAGATAAGAGCTCAAATGAAAAAGGGGAACCCAGGAAATGAATGGAGAAGACAATTTATCATCATTATTATGTATTTATCCTCACTCACACAAGGTTTTGTGAGTTGCTATGTTGTAGGAACATGTACTGTATACATTTTGTTTTACGTTTACATATTGCTGTGATCTCTGTGACAGGCTTTCTCGGTGATCACACGCCTCAGGCACCCTTGTAAATAATTCCTGAGGGAGTGAGTCTGATCTGAGCTGTCTTGTGGCGGCAGTTGTCACAGGCTTCAGGTGAGCCACTGTAGACTAAATACATGTACCGCGGCTCTGAGCTGTGTGTATTCTCTACCACTGTGCATGCATAGTGGATGGGATGGAGGTATTAGAACTAGGGATGCACCGATACTGGTATTGGTGCTGAGTATTTGGGGGAGTGCTCGTACTCGCCCAAATGCTCCTGTGCCCAGCCCGATACTTCTGGTATCAGGAAGCCGGGAAGCGAGTCATTACATGCCGCCCGGCTTCCTGATTGTCCGGGAAGCCGGCTCCTTGCTCCCTCGTCACTTGTTTTCCTGAGTGGTTGGGAAGCAGGGCCAATCAGGAAGCCGGGCGTGGTTTAATGATGTGGCACCCGCTTTCTGATTGGCCAGGAAGCCGGCTTCATGCTCCCTCGTCACCTCATGGAGCTGGCTTCCCCGCCAATCAGGAAGCCGGGCGCCGCATCTGGCCAGAAAGCCGGCTCCATGCTTTATCGTCACTCAGTGACGAGAAGCATGGGTTCGGCTTCCCTGCTAATCAGGGAATCCGGTGGGGAGTCTTTACACGCCGCTCAGCTAATCAGGAAGCCAGGTGGCGAGTCATTACACACTGCCTGGCTTCCTTAATGTGACTTCCGGTATCGGTATGAGGCCTAAGGAAGCAAATATCCACAGAATGAATGGAACAGAAACAGTGAGACCCTTGCATTGAATGTCCTCAGGTACAGCTTTCTCTCCAGCAAGGAGAACAGTGAACAACACAGTAGTGACATCACCAAATCTCACTCCAAATATCATTAGACCAAAAGTCAGAGTCACTGGTGCCTTAGATGATGTCCCAATGAAAATAAACATCTTAATGCCTAGGCACAGATAGTACTCTGTACACTTTTTCAGTAGGAATTTCGGCAGATTTTGTATGGTACTGCTTAGGGACAATTCACATTTCTGGATGTTCACTATAAGACAGCAAATTTCACTTTTTGAGTTCAGTTAAGGAGGCTAACTGAGTGCTACTTAGAGCAAGAAGAGCCATTGTTTTCAGGAGAGTAAGAAAGGGCTAATTTCCCATTGTTATCTTGCCAATGTTCTACCTATACAGGTCATTAATCACTTTATTCCAAGCTTGCAATTTAGTAATCTACACGAGCAACATAACTGTGAGGAGACTTTTCATAATGAAATGCAAATTACAAAGCATTAACCTGGGAATCTACATTCATCCCCAGTTCCGCTTGCGTTATTAAAGTGTATCAGGGGTTGGTACGGTTTCATTAAATTAGATCATGATTAACTTTAATATTTAGTGTTATGAGGGTAAATGAAGCACAAATGGCATGTGGGTGTCATCAGGAGGAGATCAGTGTTACTACATTGATCAGTGTTACAGGTGCTTTTATGGCTGTTTAAAGGTAATGTGAGAGTCTTGTCCTAGGGGGTGTCCTCCTGGGGTGGAGGAGAAAAAGGTTACCTTTCTTTCATGGTGCCCTGCCAGTGTTTTAGCTAAGAAATGCAAATATGGGGCTTCACCATACTGGTGCAATGAAACCTTGATCCCTGTCACTGTGCACAATGACTGTGTTTGTGGCAAGTGTCATAATGTTCCATGACACGTTTTTACATTGGAATAAGACAAATAGGTGATATTTTAGTCTATGTGCATCTCTCACTTCCAAGTTAGTCTTCCCTCCACCAGCTCTCCTTTCCAGCTATCATGAATGGGCAATGGGTCAATGTGCTTTACATTAATAATGCAATACATGTCCTTAGTGAAAAAAAATATACTAAGTCCTTATTATCTTTTTTATGATAATGCACCTTTTCCTGTGCTATACCATGAATATAATGGGTACCTCCTTGTTGGCCTACTTATCGGTCAATAAAGGAGAATGAAAAGGGGACCAGAGTGGGTGATGGACCCAAGTTGTATTTACCAATATGGACCTAAACTGGTAAGTGGCTCTTTTTCATTCAGAAAAAAATACATTGTCCTGCAATAGTCAAACATTTAAACAAAAAGCAGCTGCCACTGCAATACTCAACCTATTTCTTGCTCTGACCACCCCCTCCCACACACACACACGAACGCATGCACGCACACACAGACTGGCTGCTTTGCAATCCATCGTTGGTACTTATCTGAGCTGTATGTGAATTTGTAGACCTGTTAATATCATGTCTACACTTATGAGATACAACACATGTGAACCCTGACTTAGTGAGTCTTGCTTGCTTAAGTACCACATATCCTAAAAAAAAAGTTTTTTAGGGCCAGACCAGACCAGATTGTTTTCGGACCCAAAATGCATTCTAATGTATCCCTATGCTATCTCTGGCCTCTGTTCACATCAGCGCAGTCCGTTCCAGACCAGACCAGAAAAATACTGCGTGTCTTATTTTGTCTGATCTGGAATGCACTGGAACTGTGGGCAGGTTCACACTATTTTCCAGACTAGATCTGGTCCGGTAAATGGTGTGAACCTGCTCTTAGGGTTTTTTTTCCTAACGGTGACAAACATGGACAAT